GCATGGCCTCACGTCGCGAGCGGAAATATGACTCCACCCAAACAGACAGTTGCTTTCAGCGCGGCCTAGGGGGATTGGCCAGGACACTAGCCATGAGGGTGCCGTCCACCATCATCAGCTACGGTGTCAAACTGCAGGGAAGACGCACCGATGGAGTCACATACATCGTGTGCCTATCAAGCACCAGATTTGAAAACCGTGAGACCGAGCTATAGGCTATAGTTCACCTCGGGGGCAACCCTCATCGGCTTCAGAGTCGAAAGAGGCGAGCGTATCGATTCAGTATGGCCAGACAGGATCAGACTCAGCAGGGTTCAACATATCCACCTTCCAGATCCTCACCCTGGTCTTATTTTGTGCCTTGGGAGTTGGTACCTCCCGTGCAGCCAAGCTACTGCAACCGCTAAACCACCGCGTGCCCCGTACTCAAGAACAGTGCGACTAACGCCTGGAGCAAAGGCGCAGCCATGGGCGCTTGGCGGAGCGTTCCCCATGGAATATCGGGAGCACTTTCAGCGGACGCAGCGCCGGCACTTACCACGCCGAAATAAGCGTCGCACCGGCAGCCGTGCCGAACAGCATCTGGAATTGTGGAGAGCCCTTTGAGTCCACGGCGCTCCTAGGCCAAGACGCCAACAACAATGACAACAAAGAACAGGAAGGAGTCTGGCTCGAACGTGGGCTGGCCGTCAGCGGCCAGCTACGCACCACCTGACGCGACTGCCCTTTGGGGCTCACCCAGCCAACGAGATGGCGACGTCTTCGCTTCCGGCGCAGATGCCGATGCGGCTTCCTCCACCCGGGCCGAGAACCTCGACTGATCAGACCTGCCCGCCGGTGATGGCGCAGCTACGCAATGCCTATGCCAAGGCTATCATCGCACCAAAAGAAAGTGGAGGCGACGCATGAACAAACAATCCAGTTAGGAGGTTCAGGCGAGCTGTGCGTCGCGTCTTCGTCCGCCACGGAAAGGTCGCGGCGGAAGTGGCATGCGTGCCCGCAGATTTCGCGGCAGAGGCATGGCCGCGTTTCTGGCTCGATTGGACTTCGACTTTGAAGACCTATCCCTAGGGGGTGCAGGTATAGGCAAAGGTCGTAGGCGTACAACAGGGAAGGGCAGGGGGCGTAGGCTCAACCCACTGAGTAATGCTGGAAAAAGGATGACGTGCAATACCTGCAGGAGCGACGAACATTTCCAAGCGCAATGCTCCGAGGGAGGTGGGAAAATGGGCGGATCCGTATCTCTTGGCTCAGAGCAACCCGAAGCGGATATTATTGTGTGCGTTGGTTTATTTTCGCGAAATCGACCGCCTCCCTTACTCTCAAACCAGTTCTGCTTGGTTTCTGATGGCCCAGTTTGCCAGCGCTGCCATGTCGGTGGAGCGATGCGCCGAGTACCTTCGCGATGGGGTCGAGGAGCACCGCGACGCCCCCATCGAGGACTGGGTCGGCGCGCGTGGGCGCGGACGCGTGCAGGGGGGCTCCGACGACGACAGCAACGACGACTGCATGTCCGTTGCGGAGACTAGACCTGCCACCGACGCTGAAAGAATGAAACAGCTCGGACACGAGCAGACGCGACTCCACCCGCTCCCAGCCCCGACGGTGTTCGGACTCACTGAGGAGGAGGGCGGGCTGCAGTGCGATGGGGACAGACCCGCGCCAAAGCGTGTATGATGCGGGGTAAGTCTGGGGAAGCCCCAATTGGCATGGCTGGCCCCTAGTAGGGCGACGATGTGAGCAGTCGCCGCGGCTGCAAATCAGCGGCCCACCGCGCGCTGGGCGCGCTGGGTCGAGCTGGCAGATCTGGCCCGGGCGCGGGCGGCCCCGGTCACGGCCGCAGCCGTTCTCGGGGCGAAGGGCAGAGGCTGCGCTCAGTCGCCCGAGCCCGTGTGCGGCGCGAGCTTCAGCGATGCAGTCTGGGGGGAGGGGTATGCCAGGTATGCCTTCTCGAGTGAGGGGCGCGCTTTTCTCTTGCGACGACCGGGGCCCGCGCGCGGGGGTCGACGAAGCCGACGTGTATTATTTCTTCGAGCCAGGCTACTCAGAGGCGCAGATTCGCCACCGGTGGTCTCGCATGCATTGTTATCCGCGACGAAAGGGGCCGCGTCGTCGAGCGTCAGAACGTCGCGGCAGGGGCGGCGGCGGAAAGCGGGTGTGCGAGCGAGATCTGATCGAGAGCAGATCGCAGAGGATACCGCGCGTGCCCGTGCCCGGCTCGCAGTCAGCATCGCGGCAATTGCCCGTTTGACCGCCTATCTCGCAACCCTCATCATGGACAGACTTCCTGGATCCCCGATCGCGGTGATGGCATAGGCGGAACGGTGGCCGCGCCCATCGATGACTATATCCCAGTGGCCGACGCGGAAGCTCAAGAAGCAGCTGAAACATGGGGAGAGCTGGGCGATGATCCCCCGGGAACTATAACGCGGACTGGCTTCGCCGACATTCAGGGGATTATCCCGTTGGCGATGGTGGCGACAGTGCTCCCCGTATTCCCCGCCAGCGCGAGCTGACTGCGACGGGCCAGGTCATTGGTAGCTCTAGGGCCGAGGTTCCCGCGCCGCGTCCAGCATCGACCCGGGCGGCGGGCGAGAAGATGGAGGGGGGGGAGTTGGGCGAGCGGCCCGTCGCACCTACTTCGCCTGCTGGGCCGCCGGGCGACCTCGCCCCGGGCGCCGGCGACCCTGGCCGCGAAGCGGGCGGGCGCGTCCAGGGGGCTCCAGAGACCGCTGCTCTTAAGAAGAAGCTGCGTCTAGACCGAGCGATGGGCCTTGGGGAACCCCTCGACTTCGGGGGGGGCGAGGGCAGGGGCAACGACGAGGGCGAGCGCGGCCCTGCTGAGTGCGAGGGCGGCGTTAAGAAGAGAGCTGCGCGCATCAACGGCGGCTCGACGCCTATGCCTGATCAGCCGTTTCCGCGGAGGTCCGCCGAGTCACGGGCGGGCCCGGCCTTCCGTGGCGACTGGGCACCGTCGCTGCCTGCTGTGCGCCCGGGAGGTTCGATCTTGGCCGCGGGTAGGTGCAAGTCGCAACCTGGCGCCCCCTCTGATCCCGCAGCGCCGAGGAACCAGAAGGCGACGAAGGACCTGCCGCCGTAATCCAAAGATGAGCGGATCCAGGACACTGGCGGCTTACCGCAGCCACTACCACTCGGCAAACTGCGGCCCAAACCAGAAGGCCTCCAAGTGGAGTCTTTCCGGCCTGAAGGAAAGTGGAAGGCGGTTGAGCTGGTCGGCGCCGCGCGGGCGGCGTTCCAGGATGGGCCGCCTGCCGAGGCATCTGCCGGGTCGCTCGTCGGCTGCGGCCTTGCCATCTGCCGAGCCGACCGCGCAACTTGCGCCGAGATCAAAGGCCGTGCCCACCGAGCAGGGCGGCGCCAGCTGGGGCGGGCGCGCCCATGGGCGCTCCTGGCCAAGAAGAGGCGTGCACGCCCAACAAAGGTAATGGCCCCGGCCCACCTGCTATGCCGACGCAGCCCGCTGTCCAAACATCACAAGACACATTGCGTAGAAAATTTCGTGACGTGCAACCCTTGCGCCCCCAGAGAGAAGGCAAACCTGGGCCCTAATGCAGAGGGGCAGTTTGCATATGCCACCCCTTGCCGCGGCGAGAGGAAATGGCTGCTCAGTCTTAGTGATGGTCTCGCGCCTGCGGGCATGGGCCATGTCATAATAGCGCTTATGATGGGCGATTCGCGAATGCTTGGTGGTCCCGGGGCCCTCGCGATGGATGGTCAGCCTTTAAGGGTGTTCCAGCCGACATCTGGGGTGGTAGGCACTGCGACACAATCGCCAATTGGATGCGCAGCCATCCGCGCGAATCCATAACACGTTGGACAATTCGGGCGCTAGAGAGGGGCGCCTCGCGCTGAAGTGCGCGTGCGATGGCGAGGGTGTCCCAGCGCCGTGGATTAGAGCCGCCAAATGGACGCTCGGTCACTGGCAGACTCTGCCCAGAGTCATCGCGCGAACCAGTGACAGCTGTAGCTGGCGGAACTCCTGGTCTCACTGACAATGCCCCCCCGTTCTTCATGCGCGGAACT